GAGTCTGTCCACGTGCTTCTGGAGTTGGCGCTCGGAACTCCTGCCCTTCCAGGGTCCCCTGAGCCCGAGGCCCCTGGCCTCCCTTGCCTGCACGACAAGGTCACATGGGCAGGATAGAGCTCTGTGGCCCTGGGGAGGCCAGAGCTGGCCCTTGGGGCTGGTCACCTGCAGGCCGGGCTGCATGAGTCTCTCTCCTCAACCTGGGGGCTGAGGGCAGGCCCCCTGCCTCTGAGAAAGGGCAGGGAAGGTGGCAGAGGGCCCCAGCCCCAGTGGCAAAGCCCCCATGCTGCGTGCCCTGGGTCACCCAGCCTTGCTTGTCCACTATGAGAGGCAGGGGCAGAGAGAGTGACAGGTCTCTGTGAACACAGTTTACGGCGTGGACCTCCCAGTCTGGGGGTGACCAGTGGCCAGCTCACCCCGGGGTTCCCACAGGGCTGGCTTCTGCTGATACTAGAATGGCAAGAGGTCCCTGAAGATGTGCCCCCCTTTCCGCTGACCTGGGTGGAGGCAGGACACCTCAGAGCCTGCCCCAGCCCAAGCAGGGACCAGGCCTGACATTAGTGGGGGCAGGGGTGCCATATACCTGAGTGACCACTGCCCGAGGGGTGCTGGCTGGTCACCACGTGCTTCCACCCTCCAAGGCCAGGCTGCTTCCTGTCTTCTCTGCCACAGGACTCAGAGTGCACCCAGGTCCACGGAGACCGGGGGATGGACAGGAGCTTGGGGACCAAGAGTATGGGGTCACAGAGGTGTCCCCAGCTGACAGCTGATGGTGTCAAGGGCAAGCCCTGCCTGCCCCCCGCCAGGGGCAGTGTGGGGAGGGCACCTTCCCTAGTTGCAGCTGACCCAAGGGGGCTGGGCCTAGCTGGGAGGGGTGTCCACAGAGGGGGCGCGGGCCTAGAAGAGATCGAGGAGAGCCCCCCTAGGTATAAGTGGGGCAAGGGGAGAGAGGTCACCACGTGTATGAGCAGGGGGGCCCTGGTGGGGGCTGGACCCGGACTCAGGGGAGGTGAGTAAGGCACCAAGTGGCCCCAAGAACTCAGGAATAACATCCACCGACAGAGGAGTGGGTACAGGGAATGTGGTGCAGCCGCACAATGGGATATTATGGATCTGTGAAAAGAATGACACACTGACACACACAGCGACACGGACGGACCTCAGAAGCGTAGAAACGTGATGCTCAGTGAGAGAAGCCGACACAAGAGGACAAAGACTGTGTGATTCCACCCGTGTGAGGTCCCTGGAGCAGGCGAATCCAGAGAGACAGGCGGGGGATTGGTGGTGCCAGAGGCCCAGGGGAGGGGGGATGGGGAGTGACTTGTTAGGGGGTACGTGGCCTCTTTTGGGGTGATGACGATGTTCTGGAATTAGATAGAGGGGATGGTTGCACGACCCTGTGAGTATACTTACAGACCACTGACCTGCACGCTCTGAAAGGGGGAGCTATATGGTGTTTGAATTACCTCTCAGGAAAGCTGTCAGAAATAAGCTTAGTGATCAAGGTAGCTAATATTTTAATGCAACCTCTTAAAGAGTCAAAAATAGTAAGAGAAATCCATGATAAGCAAAATGTCACAATTTCGAATCCAAGCAGAAGCAGGAACACAGCTGAGCCGCCTGGAGCCAGAGCCAGGGGACGATCGGCACCCCTCACAGGTGAGCACCCTGGGCGGGCCCTGTTGGGCTCGGAGGGTGCCCAGGAGCCTGGCCAGCTGGGGGACAGCAGCTGCCTATGGCCCCTGGGGGCGAGTGTCCCCCGCATTCTACACCTCAGGGAGGAGGTCAGAGTGAGGGCTGGGCCTGGGGGAGCCTGGGGGAGGGAGGGAGGGCAGGAAGCAGGGGGCATGACAGCATCCCCGGGAGGGGTCGTGAGAGTGTCCTGTGGCCACCATAACAAATGACCACCAACTGGGGGCTTAAAACAACAGGAATGTGGGGGCCGGCCCTCTGGCCGAGCGGTTAAGTCCACGCGCTCCGCTGTGGGCGGCCCAGTGTTTCGTTGGTTCGAATCCTAGGCGCGGACATGGCACTGCTCATCAAACCACACTTAGGCAGCGTCCCACATGCCACAACTACAGGGATCCACAAGGAAGAACATACAACTATGTACTGCGGGGGCTTTGGGGAGAAAAAGGAAAAAAAATAAAAAATCTTAAAAAAAAAAAAAACAACAGAAACGTGTCCTCTCACAGCTCTGGAGCCTGGGAGTCTGGAATCACCACGTCGGCAGGGCCGCACTCTCTCTGAAGGTCCAGGGAGGGCCCCTTCCTGCCTCTTCCAGCTTCTGGTGGCCGCAGGTGTCCCTTGGCTTGTGGCCACATCACTCCAATCTCTGCCTCCGTGGCCACATGGTCTCTCCTCTGTGTCTCTCCTCTTCTCATGAAGAACCAGTCATTGGATTAGGGCCCCTGGAATCCAATGTGACCTTGTTTTAACTTGGTCACACCTACAGAGATCCCATTTCCAAGCCCGGCCCAGTGGTGCAGCGGTTAAGTGCTCACGTTCCGCTTTGGCAGCCCAGGGTTCGCCGGTTCGGATCCCGGGTGTGGACATGGCACCACTTGGCAAGCCATGCTGTGGTAGGCGTCCCACATATAAAGTGGAGGAAGATGGGCACGGATGTTAGCTCAGGGCCAGGCTTCCTCAGCAAAAAGAGGAGGATTGAGTGGCAGATGTTAGCTCAGGGCTGAACTTCCTAAAAAGAAATAATAATAATTAAAAAAAGATCCCATTTCCAAATAAGGTCCCATGCACAGGTACCAGGATTAGGATATGGACATATCTTTTGGGGGCACCATTCCCCCCACGACAGAGGTAGAGGACACGGGGCAGGGCCGTGGGACAGGGTCAGCACCTCTTGGGTCCCTCCTGTAATAATAAGCCACATTAGCATTTCTGCACACAAGGCTGCCCTGCATTCAGCCCACAAACCCACGTGCTAGGCACCACAATGGGCGTCACGGGGCACGGGGACACCCAAGCCTGCCAGGACTCACCCCCCAGCAGGCTCCCCCCACCCACATCCCCAGATCTGCTCCCCCAGCCCACCCCTTCCTGCTGCCATTGGGTTGTGGCCCCTGCCTAGGGGTAGGGGAGGGGGACAGGTGCCCCTTGTGCCCACATTGCCCCTCCCTCCTGTGTGTACACAGGACAGTGTAACTGCCAAGGGGAAGGGCTGTCCCCCACCCGAGCCTGCGCAGAGCTGCCCCCACCTCAGAAGAGCCCCTCCCACACAGGCCTGCCCACCACAGCTGTGCTCTGTGGGGCGGGGGTGAGGGGGGACTCCAGCATTTGCCAAAGAGACCGCAGAAGGCAGTGTGCAGCCGCCAAGGGTGCCCGGCCTCCCCAGGAAGGGAAAGATGTTGCCTGGTGTTCCAGGCCGTCCAGGGCCCCCCAGCCCACCCCCGGGGGACATGCCAGGATCTGGAGGAGGCTGTGGCTTGCAAGAGATTCATCCGTACATAAAAGTGGCTCCCAGGAAAAGAGGAGCTAATTCCTCCTATATTTCTAGTCCTTGCATCACAGGGCAAGGCTGGGCTGCTGCGGGCTTTGCAGGGGATTCCAGGCTGCAGCAGGGGCCCCGAGCAGGCCAGGCCCTCGATAAAAGATGTTCCAGGCAGGAGGCGGCAGGGCCAGCCCTGCAAGGGCCCGCGAGACCCGAGCCTCCTGAGGGGGCAGTGCCTGCCACTCCTGGGCACAGGGGGGACGACAGTGGCCCCTCCAGGCCAGCTGAGCCCAGAGCGGGGCCAGCGAGCTGGGGCCAGGATTTAGGGTAAGGAGGGGCAGCCTGACTCTGGACAGAAGTGGAACCGCAGGGGTGCCCCGGGGGACTGGCCAACTGTCAGCTCAGGGCAGGTGCCAGTTCCAGGAGTCCGCCCCCACTCCCCACCCCAAGGACCAACCCCAGGCTCCCTGCCCCTTGTCTCATGGCCCAGGCAGGGTGGGCACAGACAGGGCCTTCCAGAAGATGCCAACAACACCTCCCTCCCTCACAGGGGCCAGGCGGAGGGGGGCTCAGCGCCAGACTGGTCACACTGCAGACCCTGCGTTGCTGCTCATTTCTTTGTGTTTTCTGTTTTATTTACGCTTTATTAAAAGCATTGTTTCCCACTCCACGTATTTCTTTTTGTAATTGATGTGAAATTCATATAACAGCAAACAAACCATTCTAACGTGAACAATTCAGTGGCATTTAGTGCATTCACAATGCTGTGCAGCCATCACCTTGATCGAGTTCCAGAACATGTTCATCACCCCAAAATAAGACCCGGTACCCATTAAACACTCTCCTCTCTCCCCAGCCCCCAGCCCCCCAACCACAATCTGCTTTCTGCCTCCGGATTTGCTTCTTCGGGACATTTGAGACAAATGGAATCACACACGATGTGGCCTCTTGTGACTGGCCTCTCTCACTCAGCATCTGGGGCTCAAGGTTTGTGGTGTCATATCGTGTCGGTGCTTTGTTCCTCTCGAGGCGGGATGCTGTTCCACTGTAGGGACACACACATCCAGGGGACGTCGGTGCTGCCTGCTGGGGACAAGGCTGCAGTGTAAGTGTGGGTGTGCAGGGCGCCGGGCTCGGCCCACGCAGGGGCACAAGACACCCAGGCGGGGTGGGGAAGCTCTCTGGTAAATCCTTCTGGAGGGGGATTCTGTGGGACCACGGACTCTCGTTTGTTGCGGTCATTCTGTGACATCCTGTGAACATAGCTAAGGAGGGGGCGGGCTCCTTGGACAGACACACACATGGGAACAGCATCTTTAGTGACAGAATGCTGGGACCTGCTCAGGGCCGAGCAGCAGGTGGCCAGTCGAGGAAGTTACGGGAACGTTCTCAGCCCGCCGGCTGACACGGAGCCGGGTCACAGCGCAGCTTGCGGAGTCGCGGTGGCTGCTCTGCTCGTGATAAACTTGCACTCAGGAAAGTCAATCGTGGAGCCGCCAGGCGCCGCATGGGAGGCGGGCAGCAGGGACCCTCGCGAAGGCAAGCTGGCGCTGCAGGCTGGAAGGGGCGCCCGGAAGTTCTGTGCTGTCACCACTGGGACGCGGCACTGTGTGCACAACGCGCAGGCTTAACCCATGAACACGGTGAGGCGTCTCCTCCAGGCAGGCCACCACTGGGAGGGACTCTCAGTGGTGTGTCCCTCTCTGGTCCCCCATCCTCACCCTGGAGACTGCCCTGTGAGGGCCCTACCCAGGGAGGGAGGCCACCTTGCCTGGGGCCACACAGCCGTGCCTGGGGTCCCATGCCCGCAGGAGCCATCCTGGCCTGACAGAGACCTCTCTTTCCCCCTGTCCCATTTACGGCCGGGCCCTGGCATGGCTCACTGACCACCCCCCAAATGACCAAGGGACAAATTACTGCCCTGGCTGCTTACCAGAGGAGGCCCCGTTGTTCAGTGTATTCTGTTGGCTTCTCAGACACCCTGGCCAGCCTGCACCCTCTGGGCAACCCTGGCAGGCTTGGGGTACCGTCTCCTGGACTGCCACACCCTCTCACCCTCATGAGGCCAGCAGGCGAAGCGGGATCTTAGGCGACAGACAGAAACCCCACTCGAGGAGTCTGCAGCTGGAGAGCCAGGCCCCGCAGCCCCAGACAGGTGGCCTCCCCCTCACTGTGTCACGTGCTACAGAAAAGCAGAGAAGAACATGGGCAGGACCACACGCCCAGCCCCGACGTCCTTGTCATCAAACATCCCCATGGACGTGATGTCATCTCCTTTGGGTCCTTCTGCATGCTCCAAACATTCTGCAATAAACACCATTCTTCATCTGATCCAAGAAGCTCCTGCCGGTAACACTTCCACCACCCTAATTAAATCAACGGCGTGCGTCTAAAGCCCACAGATGGGCAAGAATTCAACTGACCCGCAGTCGCTGCCACAGACAGGACAACTCAGCCTTTTGGGGAAGTGAGCCGGTAGAACCAACTTGTCCCCAGCAGCACCCCCTGGCCATCCTGGGCTGGGACATCCCCCTGAGGGCCAAGCCTGGGACTCTGAGTGGTGCCTGCTCTGCCCAGCGGCCCCTGGCAGGTCAGTCCCCGTGGTCTCCTTGGGCAGATGCGCTGGGGTCTGCGTTCTCACCTTCCTGGAGTTTCTTGAATAACCTGCCTGGGGGCTGCTATGGGGGCTGCCTGGGACCCTCTGGGGCCTGATAGAGGCAGAGCCACCCAATGGCAGGCGCCACTGCTTATCGCTTTCATTGTCATTCATCACATATCCCACTGAATGTCACCTTCATTAGTAAGGGCAAAACCCTCACATCCCCACCACCAGGCCACCAAGTCTGTGTAAGGGTCCCAGAGAAAGCCACAGCCCCAACTCACAGCCCTGCCCCAGGCCTGGCTCACAGGCCACTGACCAGGGCCTGACCACCATGCATAAGCCGGCCCGGGCTCTGGGCACTGGGCAGGGTGAAGCCACCTCCTGGAGCAGAAGGTGACCATGCATTTGGTGTTCAGAGACAGCCAAGGACCACCCCTTAGCCCCCCCCCCCCCCCCCCCCCCCCCCCCCCCCCGCCTACCACCACCAGGGGGATGCAGCACAACCTAGGAAGAGGATGTGGCTTGGAAAGGCTTTGTCGTGTACAAACCTGGAGCCCCCAGCACAGGCTGCCCAACCACCACAGGCTTTGCTGAGCTGAGCCCCTACCCGGCCCAAACCCCCAAACCCTGCCACAGCACGGGAGGGGCAGTTGGGTGGCGCCACCTCATCGGGCCCCTCCAAGCCCCGCTCACATGCTGCCTGCAACAGTTGCCTGCGCACTGAGCTGCCTGGGGCGGGGACGGGCCTCATGCTCCCTGAGCCCCACTGAGCGTAGATGGCCGCCGCAGCTGCAGGCCCACATGCCTGGGTTCCAGCTGCATGCCCGTGGGCAAGTCACCAGGCCCCTCTGAGCTTGGGCTCCAGCTGGCAGGGCCATGAGGATGACAGCGTGAGGCTCCCACTCACTCAATCCTCCTTCGAGGGTCCTCCTCACTGGAGCTCCTCCCTCCATCACCGGTGCCGTCGGCTCTCCCCACCCCCACCCTGGGCTTGGGGAGGCCAGGGCTGCTGACAGTCGAGTCTGCCCACCCGGTGTGGACGCGCCAAGTGCCACCGAGCCCCTGGGGGCAACCAGTGCCAGGCTGGAGGGCCCGGGAGGAGCAGGGGGAGAGCTTCATCCTCAAGTTGTAAACAGGCCGAATGGCGGCAGGTATAAAACCTGGAGCCCCCCACAGCTTCTCCCTACACCCAACCTGGACTCGCCTCCCCAGAGCGCTCAAAGGAAGCCGGGCGGAGGGGAGCCCTGCCTGGGGACGGTGGCATGGGCACTGGGCCCAGCCGGAGCTGCCCAAGTTGCCTGGCAGGAGTTTGGGGCCTCGTCTTCACCCACAGGAAGAGGGAAGGCCCCGGAGGCTAGGGGTATCCCAGGGAGATCCATGGGGGCAGGCAGAGGAGGAGGAATGGGGGGCAGCCCCGAGGGAGCCCCAGTCCAAAGGTAGCTGTATGCGCGGGTCTGCAGGTGTGGGCAGCGCGCATGCATGTGCTTGTGCCAGCCTCTGAGCGGGGAGCGCTGAGACCATTCACCAACCTCAGGGCCCCCGGTGCTGAGTGGGGGTGGGGGGCTTGGGAGAGAAGAGTGTCCCAGGCCCCCAGACACACCAACTCTGGCAGGCACTTCCCTCTGGCCACGAGGCCTTTTTCTCATCTTAGCACCTGAACTTGGTGATTCACGGGCAGAAGCTAGATGCAGCCCACGGTCCCCAGAAGGGCCACAGGGGTGGTTCAGAGGGGTCTTGAGTGGGGGAGGTTTCTGCCAGCCTTGGGGGAGCATCCAGGACACAGCAATGGTGGGGGCTGGGGGTTCTTAGCCAGACCTTAAAGCTCTGGCCAGCTCTGGCTGTGGAGGGCAGTGAGGTGGTGGTGGGGAGGGTGCAGTGGTGGCGGCGGTAATGACAGGGTCAGGGGCCCTTCCAGGCACTGAGCAGGCCCCAGCAGGCTGGGCAGGGGCCGCATGGCCGGCTTTGTGTGGTTCCTCGCAGCCCCACTGCCCTCACTATATATGCCAAGTGGGACTCCATCCCAGGCCCGATCAGGAGCTATAACTACACCGCCAGCAAGTTCCCACTCTGCCTCCCCCGCTGTCTCAGCTGTGATCTCAGGCTCCCCTGCCTTCACGGGCGGGCGCCTCAGAGAGAGTGGGGTGGGAGGGAGTGGTGAATCGGCACAGCCCAGGGTGCCCACAACGCTCTGCAGACAGGATGTCGACCCCAGGCTTGGCCAGACCAGGCCTGGAATTTGGTCCAGCCCCTCCTCCATGAAGGGGAGGACACTGGCCTCTGGCGGGGCCCTGAGTGTCGGGCAGGGCATCCCCTCCCTCCCGGGGGAGCCCAAGATTCTGGGGTGGGAGAGGGGAGTCGGGGTCTCAGCTGAGGATGTAGGGTGGGGGGCCTGTCCAGTGGGCCTCAGGAGTCCAGGCCTGCCCTTGATCCCGGCTGACCACCCCCGCCCTACTGCCTGTGCTGGCTGCCAGAGTCGGCCATTAGTGGTGATGTGGGGGGGCCCACCGCAGGGCCCAAAGCCACTTCCCCACCATCTTCCTTCCCTCCTGGCTCCTCGCACGACCCTATGAAGGGTCAGGGTGGGCAGGGGTCTCCCTATTCCACAGGTGAGGAGCTGGAGGCCCAGAGCAGCTGGGGGCACACCCAGGGCATGGAAGCAGGACCCGGTCGGGGCCCACACTCGCTGCTCCCCAGGCTGCCAGGGGTGAGCTGCAACCTTTGACCTGTGGCTTCTCCATGGGAAGGAAAGTAGACACTCCTCCAGCCACTGCCCAGCCCTTCTCGGGACCCATGGGTCACGGGGCTGCCCCTCCTGGAGATGGAAGCGTGTTCTGGAAGGCTCCACAACCCTGTGAACTTTCGAGAGGACAAAGGAGCCTCTGAAATAGCTACTTTGCCTTGAGTCCCAGAACCCAACCCCCCTCGGGGACAGGAACCTGAGAGCCCAGAGGGTCATGGGCGCCGTGAGGGGCACAGAATGGTCTGGTTGCCGCCTGCTGGCCCCTTGGTCTGTGCCGACCCCTTCCCCCTGGGCTTCAGTCCCAGCCTGGTCGGTGGCTCCTCCTCGACTGTGACTCTCCATGAGGTGGGGACAGTGACGTGCACACCTCGCTGGGGCTGTGGGCAGACGCACCCTAGGTCAGCCCTCCTGAGGGCTTGGAGAGGGGTGGTGGTCATCCCTGCTCAGAGAGCGTCTGGGCCTTCCTCCGTCCCGGCCACCTAGAGACCGGCCTGTGCCCTGTATGTTTCTCCCCGAGGGGTCAGTGTCCAGCTGGGACAACCAGGGCCCGCTCGTCTGGGATCTGGTAGAGTGAGGCCTGAGTCTCCGTGGGAGGAGGTGGCACTTCAGGCACCCAGGAAGGTTTTCCAGAGGAGGTGGCCTTGAAGGACAGAGGGAAGTTCCCTGGTGGCGTTGAGGAGTCAGATGGCCGCCACCTCTGCCTCTTCAGAGCAAAGTGAAAGACCTTGCTCACATCACTTATGGTTTCGGAGCCTCAGTCTCTTCTGTGAAATGGGGGGACTACCTCAAGCTGGCCAGCCAGCAAGTGGTGAGGGCTCAGCTGCGTCTTCCTTGGGGCCCTGGGCACAGGGGTCTCCGTGTGGCCAGGGCCCCAAGGGTGCTAGGACAGCTGACTCCTCCCCCTGCCGTCTGCTGCCTGAGGCCAGCTGGGGGCCTGGTCTGGGCCCCTGGGGACCCCACTCGGGGAGCAGGAGCCAGCGCCATGCAGGGTCCCAGAAGAGTGCCCCTCCGCTCTACATGGACCTGCCGAGCCAGCTCCCTGTCCACCGCAGGGCCAGGATGGACGAGGACTTCTCCCCACAGGTGAAGAAGATGGCCTTGGCCATAGGCACTTCCCTGCTGGACAAGGACAAAGACTGCTGCCCACAGACACCAGAGACCAGGGTACAACACACACACGCACACACCCAGCGCGGCCCAGCTGTGGCCGAGGAAGCAGTGGACACAGGAGCCTGTCTGTGAGCTCCCCTTCCCCTTGGCTGAGCAGCCCAGGACACACAGGGGAGGGCACGGGGCCTGGCGCCCACCCCAGGGCAGGAGTCTCCCTCTGGGCCCGGCCCTGCTGGCCAGGGCTGCCCGGCCCTGTGTGAGGTGTCCCAGTGACCCGTGCCTGGTTGTCCCAGGCTCCTTCAACTACCTCAAGTTCTCTGAGTACATGAAGGAGTTCCAGGCCATGGGGCAGCTGGAGAGCGTCATCCCCAAGGCCTTCCAGACCCTGGACAAGGACAAGAGCTGCTTCATCAAGTGGAATGAAATCAAGTAACAGCCAGTGGCCAGTGGCCGGGGGAGGGGACTGAGTCTGGGCCCCCCCCACCCTCAGCCATCTCGCCCGCCCCAGTGGACCTGGCATCCCCAGTGGGTCCCTGGCTGGCCTTGCGAGAGGCAGGGCCAGGCCATCCAGGCCCCCAGGGACAGCACCAGACCCCCTCTCCAGCTGGGTCAGGTCTCAGTTTCTCCACCTGTAAACCATTGGGCACTGGCCAGATGCTCCCTCAGTTCTGACCTGAGTCCACCCCTGGCCCCAGGTACATCCTGTCCACATCGCCAGCAGTGGGCCTGCCGCCCCGCTGATGGCCGAGAAGGCTGAGGCCATAATCCAGGTGGCCGACAGGATTGACAGTGAAGGCGGGGCAGCACACACGGGGACAGGGACACCTCTCAGGACCTTCCTGGCCTCGCCCCTCCAGGACCCCACCCCCACAGTCACTG